TGTATTCTATTCCTCTCCAGAATGAAGAAATATGGATCAAAAATGAAGATTTTGACTTTCCAGTTGTATCACCGCAGTTTCGGAGAACTATGTTACATCTGCGCCGCATGTCGCCGATCAACTAACTACCTGTGGTGGTGTTGCAGCCCTGGACAGGACTGTGAGTAAATAATAATCCCTATTCATGGAGGAGATGTTATAAACAGTACGCCGTTCATATATTTAATAGATGCCAAACAACAATGTCCCCCGATGTTTCATCCTGTCCACGGTCAACATAAATTGCAGGTAAGTACCTTGTTGCCACCCTTTCTCATCAAATAAAATGCAGAAGAGCAGCTTCTCTTTTCCACACACTGTCAACCACTATGCTCCACAAGGTGAAACTGCAAACTGTTTGAGGAAGTTCTCACATCCTCCTTTCCTTTCCTCAGTCATGCGTTTCAATCCCAACCGCTGGCTAGGAGAAAAACCACACTGGAGAAACATCTTTTTTCATTATTAAGAACACTGCAGCTCAAGTTCTCACCAGAACAAAGAAATCAGAATAGAATTCAAATTCCACTACTGGTTTATATATCACTGAATAATTAAAGTCCTGAATATATTAAAGACATGATGATTGAATATACTGTAAACCGAGTCGGGCTCTGTGGTGTGGAGACACGGGTCAATAAGCACAGAGTTTAAAACAAACATGGAGAAGCGACACTAAGCTGTTATGCTGCATGGAAATGGCTTAAACTGCTAAAAGGGATGAGGGCAGCCCCAAATGTAAATTATTTTAAATCCAGATTTAAAAATTAATTCTTTCTCCCATTGCTCTGATTAATTGTTTTGTAAGCATTTTAAAATTAGTTCGCTTGTACAGTCTTTTAAATTTTAGAAAGCTACTTCTTTTTTCTTCACATTTACATGTTTTTAAATATAATATACCAGAAATATAATATGAGGGTTTGGTGGTGAGCTAGAGCTGGATGTCATCAGCAAAGGAATGGAAGTGAATTTTTAATTTATGAAAAATAATGCTGAGGAGAGGAAAGTTGATGATGAAGAGAAGGGGTCCCAAGACAGATCCATGGGGTGCACCTGAAGTGATAGAGGAGTGGATAGGTTTGAAGCATTTGAATTGGATGAACCGAGTGTGGCCGGAGAGGTAAAATGAGAACCAGTTGAACGGAGTGTGGGTGTTGTCAGTGGAAGAGAATGGGATGAGAAGGATGGTGTGTTAGATGGTGTCGAAGGCTGCAGTCAGGTTAAGGGGAGTAAGGATGGTGAGGAGTCCAGAACCAGCTGCCATGAGGAGGTCTTCAGTGATTTTGATATGCAGGTGATGATGATAGGAATGTAGGCAAGTTTTACTCTTTAATGCAACATAGCTTCTAGTCTAAACAGTACTCAAGTTTCTCACTGTACGCATGTAGTTGACAAAATGCTGTTATGTAAAATTGCCTCAAGCTGTATTTACCGTTTGTGCTTCCAAACATTGATTTCCTTTGACTTGTGTCCTACGCAGGTAAGAGCTTCCTGTTTTTGGCGGTCGGCATGCAAGCGAGAGGGTGCTGAAAGTCTTCCACGTTTTGTTTAACTAAAGCGTCCCCACCCCTGATTCAACCTGTCACCTCCATTGACACACAGCCAAGGAGTTGCGGCATTGTATATTTATAGCCAAGGGCCAGTCCGGTGCTTCATGGCTCAAAGAGTCGGTGGCCTCTCTATGCAAAAAAAAACAAAAACAAAAAAAAAAAAACTTGCAAAAACAAGCAGGTGTAAAACAATTAAAAAAGTCACATGAGAAAGTCACATGATTAGACAATGTCGATATCCTGACATTTTTCAGAAATCCAAACATACAGTAACAATGAGCCGTGTACTGGACTGTATGTTCTCGTCTTGTCTTTTCTTCACGTGAACAGCTCCCTCTATTGACATTTAGTCACTTGTCCTGAAATATGTATATTGAGGTGACTCATCCAAATGCACAACTACACTCATTTCACTTTTCATATACAGGACACAACAGACTTGAATGACATGACCATCTGCAACAGAATACACTGATGATAATGATGGTGCTACTGCTTTTTTCTTTTTGCCTCACAGGATGAATAAAGTATCTATCTATCTATCTATCTATCTATCTATCTATCTATCTATCTATCTATCTATC